AGCAGCCGCAAATAATTCAATGTCAAAATTGATGTCGACTGCAACGACTTCGGATATGACAACGGCAACGGCGACGGCGACGCCTACGTCGACGACGAAGGCAACGCGTATGACCTTGACGATGCCGATATTGACGTTGGACGCGAAGAAAGAAATAGCAACTTTTACGTCGACTAATACGACTTCGGATATGACGACATCGACGGCGACGGCGACGGTGACGCCTACGTCGACGACGAAAGCAGCGCGTATGAGCATGACGATGCCGATACCGACGGCAGCCGCAAATAATTCAATGTCAAAATTGATGTCGACTGCAACGACTTCGGATATGACGATGGCAACGGCGACGGCGACGCCTACCACGACGACGAAAGCAGCCCGTATGAGCATGAGGATGTTGATACCGACGGCGGCTGCGAAGAATGAAATGGCAAATTCGACGTCAACTGCAACGAATACGGATATTACGACGGCGACGGCGACGGCGACGTCTACGTTGGCGACAAAGGCAGAGCGTATAAACATGACGACGCCGATACCGACGGCGGCTGCGAAGAATGAAATGGCAACTTTGACGTCGACTGCAACGACTCCGGAGATGACGACGGCGACGCCTATGTCTACGTCGACGACGAAAGCAGCGCTTATGAACATGAGGATGTCGATACCGACGACGGTCGCAAACAATTCAATTGAAACTTTGACGTCGACTGCAACGGCTACGAATATGACGACGGCGACGGCGACGGCGACGCCTACGTCTACGTCGACGACGAAAGCAGTGCGTCTGACCATGACGATGCCGATAACGACGGCGGCTGCGAAGAATGAAATGGCAACTTTGACGTCGACTGCAACGAATACGGATATTACGACGGTGACGGCGACGGCGACGTCTACGTTGGCGACGAAAGCATCGCGTATGACGTTGGCCGCAAAGAATGAAATGGCAACTTTGACGTCGATTGCAACGAATACGGATATTACGACGGCGACGATGACGGCGATGTCTACGTCGACGACGAAAGGAGCCTGTATGACCATGAGGATGCTGATACCGACGGCGGCTGCGAAAAATGGTATTACAAATTTGACGTCGACTGCAACGACTACGAATATGACGACGGCGACGGCGACGCCTACGTCTACGTCTATGTCGACGACGAAAGCAGCGCGTATGACCATGAAGATGCCGATAACGACGTTGGCTGCCAATAATTTAATGGCAACTTTGACGTCGACTGTAAGAACTACGGATATGACGACGGCAACGGCGACGGCGACGCCTACTTCGACGACGAAAGCAGCCCGTACGACCATGACGATGCCGATACCGACGGCGGCCGCAAAGTATTCGATTGCGACTTTGACGTCGACTGCAACGAATACTGATATTACGACGGCGACGGCGACGCCTACGTCTACGTCGACGACGAAAGCATCGCGTATGACGTTGGTCGCAAAGAATGAAATGGCAACTTTGACGTCGACTGCAACGAATACTGATATTACGACGGCGACGGCGACGCCTACGTCTACGTCGACGA